CATATTTGTATTAGCAATGAACACAGTTGTATTAGAAAGTAAACACAGTTGGTTTAGAAGTGAACATAATTGTATTAGAAGTGAACATATTTGTATTAGCAATGAACAAAGTTGTATTAGAAAGTAAACACAGTTGGTTTAGCAGTAAACATAATTGTATTAGAAGTGAACATATTTGTATTAGCAATGAACATAGTTGTATTAGAAATGAACACAGTTGCATTGGCAGTGAACATAGTTGTATTAGCAGTAAACATAGTTGTATTAGAAAGTAAACACAGTTGGTTTAGCTGTGAACATAATTGTATTAGAAAGTAAACACAGTTGATTTAGCCGTGAACATAATTGTATTAGAAGTGAACATATTTGTATTAGCAGTGAACATAGTTGTTTTAGAAAGTAAACACAGTTGGTTTAGCAGTGAACATAATTGTATTAGCAGTGAACATAGTTGCATTAGAAGTGAACAAAGTTGTATTAGAAGTGAACAAAGTTGTATTAGCAGTGAACATAGTTGTATTAGCAGTGAACATAGTTATATTAGAAGTGAACAAAGTTGTATTAGCAGTGAACATAGTTGTATTAGCAGTGAACATAATTGTATAAGCAGTGAACATAGTTATATTAGAAGTGAACAAAGTTGTATTAGCAGTGAACATAGTTGTATTAGCAGTGGGCATATTTGTTTACAGTGAACATAGTTGCATTATAAGTAAACATAGTTCTAATAAGAGTAACGTCGCTGACTTGAGATCCTATGCTGTTTGGTCGTTCCACCAACAGTAATGGAGAACACGCAGTCTGTATCAAACGTCGTTCATTTGGGGCACATTAGACCCTAATCGAAGCCTAATGACTATACAAGGCTTACTGAAACATCAAGGGATGACTCGGGTAATCGGCCACGCGCCCATTATCATCAGACAGTCAAGGTGATATATTTTAAGATACAATGCCAAGCTTGACCTGGTACTGATGTTGTAGGAGACTTACTCTAATACAATTTGTCAGCTCACGAACATGTTAGATTTATTAACAGAAATAACAACAGAGCGGCCCAACACGAGGGATAACGCTAACAGGAGTTTGAAAGGTTACTCTTCGAAAGATCATATTTTCACATTTTGTTCCATTGTGGAAAGATAATTACCAACGGAAGATGATATTGATGGATCATATTTAAATATTGTTTGAATCAGTTCATCAAAGTTTAAGGTCAGTCATTTTATGAGCTGGCGTATGAATGTAGTGTTACACCGCAGTGAGTAATATTTCAGTGTGTTATCTATAAATGTGTATCTTCTTAAAAAAAACTTCCGGGCTAAAGTGTACACCGATGTTTGATGGTGGGTAAAAATGAGACAAAGAAAAAATGGTTTCTTAATGGTGATATATTTGATGGAGGTATCATAGATTTGGGCGGTAAGTTTGGAGTTTTTCGCGCCTGTTTTCAACGGAGTAATCTTCAACTGTATCCTTCCTTTTGACCTTCATTTTATTGTCATTACTTTTACGTCGTAATCAGACACAAATGTTGTTCAATTGTTCCTACGTATGATTATAAGTGTTTTTAGTGTTTTTGATTGAAAGGTCCAGCTATTCCATTCGTGACCAATTCGTGTTATTCCGGGACAAGCCGAATAGCGACTCGTGCCCCTCTCGTGGCCATTGTTGCGACTGGGTTCCGTCTAAGCGCAAACTGTCATAGCTATCCCCCAACCACCGACCCATCACCCCCCCCCCCCCCCCACACACACACACACACACACACACACACACACACACCATTGTTGTGCGAAGAATGACATTGAATGAGTTAAGGAGCATTGCTCGTATTTATAATGTCATAAATACCACTACATGGCGGATGTATTGTAGCGATAAATTAGAGGATACTAGTTTTGAGTACAACCCTCAAAATGTATTAACATTTAACATTCCTTGGTGATGAATTTTCAACACGTTTTAGGGACTGTTGGTTGTACAAGCATTGTTTTGTACAATACATCAACGTCGTGCATGAAATCGTGCAGGTCCAGTTCATAAAGAAAAGGTCAAGGTCGCCGTAATTCGTTAATGGCTTTGCACGCAACACACGCTTCCCACCACTTCTTTTATTTTGGTGGCCTAGTGGTAGAATGTGTTTTTCCATTCTTATTGTCCCCACCATGATATTGGTTGTTTACTTAAGTGCGCGTGAAGAGGTAAACCATCGTCTCACACACACAAAAAATGTCCTGTTGTCATACCAAGCTCCTCACAGCGATAGCCCGTTCGCGGAGCTCTCTTTACCGAGAGTGTAACGAAGGTGTCACGCGCTGGGAAGGAGCTTGTTATCATACACGACAGGGGGGATAACTCTAGGCGCATGTCTGTCATGACGACGGGTATTTGTAGAAGTGATTCAAAACTGCATTTTTTGTAGCTGCAAAACAGAAATAATGAGTCGCGTATTAAGAAAATGGCCGACCTACCCAGGTGTTTTGGCTATAGTTTAAAGTTATATGTACGACTGACCTAATCCGAGCGTACATTTCCATGCAAATCGTGGGTTCGAAATCCGATTAGCCCCGATTATGTTTCAAGGTTTGTCACCACCTTACCCGTGCTCGTGGGTTTCACCAAAGCGATAAACGTCTTATCCTAAACCGTAAGAGTAATAATTATACACAGATATTCGCTTTTTAAGTTAAGCTTCTTTCTATTTTGGAAGTGGTAATAGATACTGAAGGACGTTTAGATTACTCTAACAAAAACAACAAACAAATAATTGGTCAATTTCGCCCGACTGTAATCCGCAGCTCTCAAAAACCTTTTTGGCAAATTTCCATTTAATTTGCCATCGTATATTTATATAAGTTGAACTACATCCTTATAACATAGTTTGTCGACTCTACGCAGCAGCAATCGATTATTGTAGTCATTAGTTTATAAAACGCAAGTCCTTTCAAAAGTGTTTTTTTTACCAATGCCAAAGTGGAAAGTGTTCACTGGAGTGTAATGACACTTAAGAAATTTCTTTAACGTCTCGCTTGTCAATTTAAAAAAGTGTCAATCATGTTGATACTAATTAACAATCCAATGAGGTTAGTATTCACTGGGGAGTCTGACTGTGACAGGAGTTTAAAAAAAATCAGCTTCTACAATACAATTAGTTTGAAAAATCCTTTTTGTTCTTTTTGAAGTTTGGTTACGTCTACCCTTCATGCCTGTGATAGACGACAGTCATAGCCCTCCCCGGTTCTTTGTATGTCTAATTCGGTTATCAATGTAAATATTTTCAAATAATTATGATTGATGATATCCAGAAATGGCATGTTAGCTCTGTATTTAGATTAGATCACAAGTGCTGCTCCGTCATATTTGAAAAGCTGAGATAATTTCCTTGCTCAAAATACCTCGGTTAACAAAATGTATCTGAATCATCAAAGTTAAAATAAGAAAATACTGAGCAATTTATATAACTGACGTGACTGTTTTTGCATTCCAGGCGGTTTTACATGTCACTTGAAAGCCTTTTTTGGGTATTTTTGGAGATTTTGAAGCTTGGCTAGATTTCACCATCGATTGATCTGACCTGGCTGTTTTTCGTGTTTATTGCGTTACGTGGAAATGCGATTTGCGTTTTATTGGGGACTTCAAGTCAATAAAGTCTTTTTCCCCGTACGAAACATCTCAGACTAATAAAAACCGCAAGACCTTGGATATTTTCAAAATAGATTTGATCGTTAAATATATGAGGAAATTAACGTCACATTGTCGCTGGCTTGGTTTTCCTGGGCTTGACCATTAAATGCTGTCAGTTACCCGACAGCGCTGAAACGCCAATGAATATTCATGAAATGATTTTAATTTAGAGGATAATTTACACCAACCATTTTTTTCAAAAGAGGCTGTTTCCAAAACAGTCTCTGGCATTTCAATGAAAGCATCAGCGAACGATTTATCGCATGTTTAATGTTGCTCTTTTCCACTTGTAAGTTAATGGTGTTTATCTAGATTTGCGAAACGAATGGAATACTAAATCCGATAGATAACATGAATTTGGTTTGAATTTGAATGTAAATGAAATCTAATGTATTTAAATAATGTATCGTAATGATGATATGAGGTGAGGTGAAATGGGGTTTAACGTCGCGTCCAAGATTATTGCACTTATATAGCGACGTGCATGCACGTGTATGTGTGTGTGGCTGCTTGTACTAGTCCGGACTGATGCCGATTTATAGTGCTAGCACACTGAGATACCATGCCGCAGTTTAACATGAATACCCCACTCAGACACAGTATACTGACTCCGAGCCGACCAGTCCTTGCCAGACAGGGTAACAACAAGTACCATCTTTTAACGTCTTTTTGTATGACGCGGCTCTCCGGGCGGCGCTCTTTCATTAGACCACTCGTAATGATGATGATGATGATGGTGATGGTGATGACGAGGACGACGACGACGATGATGATGATGATAATATTTTTGGGATATTTTTATTAAATTGTTTGTTAGGTGTCTTCACTACCAAAAATAATACCCAAAAATATTTAAAATCCCCATCTTTTTTTATTCAGTATATAATAATTCTGATTTCGAGCAGCTGATTCAGAGGCACACGCGAATTTGCTGTTCAGATCAAAACTCATCAATCGCAACAAGTGGCAGTGATATGTTTCATCGGCGCAGAAAGCTGTTCAGACAAACCACGCACATACTGAATCAACAACAATGAATACGTAAACATTGCACCCGAAATAGACCACAAATTCAATCTAGATTCAACCCTTTGAGAGATTGCTTACTTCACGTTGACAGAAAACCTGAATTATTGAGGTAGCAAATTTGGAATCCAGGCAATTATCCGACGGTTCATCACAAGCGTCAATATGACGACTAACCAGATCGCAATGATTAAATTAGAATTTTTGATATAATTATGTCTTCGTTTCAGACGTGCCACTTGGCATGGAAGCATCGACCAGTCTAACGTTTGACCTTGACCTTTCAGTGTGGCTTACAGTAGCGGTGATTGGCTGGTGTGAAGCGGTGGGGATTCCAAGTGAGTATAGCTGTGTGATATTAGTCTGGTGTCCTCATCACCACAGCAAGAAAAGTGCAGAGCATTTCCAATCAAGGAGGCAGTGTGTTGGATGTGTGCCCATTCGTATCCACTCGGGTCATTCCGGGTCATTCCGGGAGAAGCGGGGCGGTCGGGTAGCCTAGATGTTAAAGCGTTCGCTCGTCACGCCGAAGACCCGGGTTCGATTCCTGACATGGGTACAATGTGTGAAGCCCATTTCTGGTGTCCCCCGCCGTGATATTGCTGGAATATTGCTAAAAGCGGCGTAAAACCATACTCACTCATTCCAGGAGAAGCTAAAATGCAGCTCATGCCCTGGACAGTTCTCAAATCTGTGTTTGATTATCATTGTACATATTAATTGATAATCATAAGTGATTTATTATTTGATTATGATGTATACGTCATTAGCTCTAAATCCAGTTGGGGGCACGGGTGGCCCAGTTGTCTAAGGCGCCGCGATTCGCTGAGCAGAGTTGTGTCCTTTGGGCACGCAAGAAACCTATGATTATGGGTTCAAATCCCGGTTCACCCCGATTTGTTTCTAGGTTTGTCAGAACCATACCCGTGTTCGTGGGTTTCACCGAAGTGGTAAACGTCTGAGACCTGCATCACTTCGGGCTTTCCTCCCACATTAAGCTGACACGCCGCAATATAACTGGAATACTGTTAAAAGCGGCGTTAAACCGTTGGCCCTGCCTATCTTCGAGAAATGTTTCTCCAATACAAATCTACGAGAAATTTCCGATCAAATGACCAACTTCTCCTGTCTGTACCAAAATACAGACTATAGACCTTCGGTGCTCGGTCCTATGGAACTCCCTTCCCGTCAGCCTCAATAGGGGAGCTGGCATCACTGTGTCTAAGTCTGGACTCAAAACATACCTTTTGCGTCCAAGATATGCTTGGACGGGTTCTGGGCCTCCCCTGGGGCAAGTCCCATCTCCACGGGGTCTGTTCGCATACCGGATGGGGGCTGACTGGGCTGAGGGGTTGTAAGTTGAATATCTTCTTGGCTTTCCGTAGCCAAGTTTTCAACCAGTTTCGAGGGGGAATATATCCACCCTATCTAGGCCCACCACGGAGAGGCGTACATCATCATCATCATCATCATCATTATTATAATTTATTTTTTATTATTATTATTATTATTATTATTATTATTATTATTATTATATTACTACTACTACTACTATTATCATTATTATTATTATTATCATTATTGTTAGAGGCAGTGACCAGCTTAGCTCAGGGAGACGTATGTAGGGTTCATGAATATCCCGACCAGTGAGATCCAAGGCAGAGTCCATAGGTTAGGCTAACAAAAGTAACAAACACCAGGGGAACCCTATTTTAATACATATAACCATCAAATTTAATAACCAAGAATTCGCACATATACAGACCTAGGTAAATATTAAACGGCAACGCCAGAGAATAACCAGTCTCAATTATCAGATTCCATGGACGTAACAGCCAAAATAGTTGTAATAATTATAGGACTGGATCACTGTAAGTCAGTGATGAAATCAGTTGTTCGCTTAAAAAAGTCAGTATGTACATGTCCTACCCAATCGGAGGCACCAAACCCTGGTTTACACAATCATGATGGGGACTCAATGATGCCAAAATAATAGAGATTTGAAGATTCGAACTCCGCTTTTTTTCTAGTTTGGTTTGGGTTTCATAAAATACGTATACAGTCGAACCTCGTTGTGGTGAACTCGTAGACTTTAAAAACATTTCGAGTTATCCGGGGTCCGGGGTCATCAGTGGAATTATATGTTAAATTTGGTTACTTGGGACATCCCATTGAGTTCGAGACAACCGGAATTCGACACATTCATTTCAACAGATCCGTTTATAAATGATGATAAGTATGGAAGGAATTCTCATGGTCCGGTGTTGAATTCGAGACAACCGGGAATTCGACACATCCAAGATCGACACAACGAGGCTCGACTGTGTTTCACAATAGCGCAGGCCTCGTGATATTGTCCAAAAGTGATACATATCCATGTTCTCTGTTGCACGAGTGCCACCGTTAGGGCAGAATACGTTCACATATTCATCTGGTACCACTACGATTTGATAGTGATAAATTAAACACATGCTTACGATAGACAGTAAACTACGTTTATAACGTACACGCTTATAACGAACTGACGGATATAACGTACTGTTTTGTGTTTTTTTGTCCGGGGAATTTGCTGTACGTATCTTGTAGATATGCTTACAATGAACTACGGTTATAACGAACTATAATTAGTGGTCCCTTCGTTATAACCGTTGTTTACTGTAGTCGGAATCGCACAATCGGTTTTCCTTTTAGCAGAGCTCTTTATGAACACAGAGGCTGCAGTTATTATTATTTTGTTGAGCATATAGTATTGAGATTTGATGACAATTTGCCCCTGAACTTAAAGCTCAGTTCACAAAAGCAATACGAACAATGGGATGTTGCGAAACTTACTCACTTTCCATTACTAAACGTGTCAGTAAATTTAAATGTCAAACGCATTGACATATGTATAAATAGCACGGGTATCTCGTCAGTATTGTTTGAGAAAATATGCTGTAATGAGTGGCGTGACTGAGACAGTTATTATAACAACGAGGTCTTTTCGCGGTTGCCCTGAAGAGCAAAGATCGATAGATTGTAATTATGGTTTAGTGAGCCGTTAGACTCCGGGGTACACTGGGCAATGACACATTCATACCTGGAGTGCTGAACATTTGCAAACAAACCATTATGGTATTGAGTCAATCGTTCATCTGGCCCGCAACTCGGTTAGACGATGACGCTGTACAGCTGTGCAATGTGTTACAAGGTACACATAACACGCTAGCCTTTCCGCTCCTCAAACTGTCCGCGTTCGTTTGGATATTTACCAGCACAGTGAATATTATAAATGCCTTATGTACAAGTTCTTGTACAGTGTTACAATATGAAGCAAATAAGGACAACGCTACGATTCAGCAACCCATGCTTGCCGTAAAAGGCGACTATGCTTGTCGTTTGAGGCGACTAAAGGGATCGGGTGGTCAGGCTCCCTGACTTAGTCGATGCATGGCTTCATATCCCCATTGCGTGGATCGATGCTCATGATGTCAATCACTGGAATGTCTGGTCCAGAATCAATTATTTACAGATCGCCGTCATATAACTGGAAGATTGCTGAGTGTAGCGTTAAACAACAAACAAGCAAACAAACAAACAAACAAAGGATAACGCGTCAGGGTAGGTTCCCAGTACGAAACGTTTGTCGGTGGAACCAGCTCAAGCGGTAATTGGTTGGTCAGGGCGTTATTCGTACCCCATGGCGTGGATCGAGAGCCTGGTCCAGACCCTACTATTTACAAGGAGCTGTGATAGTGTATATATCTGTATCACAAACTTTCTCTACACACATTAATTTAGTAATAGTACAATTCTGCATAAATGTTAAAATGTAAGGATCTCAAAGCTACGTCGAACCTACCCCACCCCACCCCACCCCACCCCACCCCACTCCACCTCACCCCAACCCACCCACACCCACACATACACACCCAACCAACAACACACATAAACACACACTTCATGTAAATTCGGGCTCTTTACCTTTAGGGACACGCCAGAAACCTATGATTGTGGGTTCGAATCCCGTTTCGACCCGATTATGTTTCTAGGTTTGTCAGCACCATACCCGTGCTCGTGGGTTTCACCGAAGTGGTAAACGTCTGAGACCTGCATCACTTCGGGCTTTCCTCCCACATTAAGCTGACACGCGGCGATATAACTGGAATACTGTTAAAAGCGGCGTTAAACCCAACTCACTCACTCACTCTTTACCATTAGCCAAAAACAAACCCGAACAAAGAGTATCATATGCATTCCTGTGAAAGAACAAAATGGAAACACTGTGAATCCAGTACCTTTCCAAGTAAACGTGTCCGGATTAACAAATTATTGATTCACGAATCAAAGTTTAAACTTAATGACTCTTAGATAACACACAGACGGACCAAAAATGGCCTTCTAAAGGCGATCATTCGAGCTTCACTGTATTAGGCTACTGAATTCGTGCCGTGTGTTACGTTGCAAGTACCAATCTCGTTACGCTGTCTACACAGCGACCAACTGATCATCGACATTGAACGATCACCTAATTCGACTGTGTTCTTCTGTTCCTCAATTGGATTACGTCCTCCACTGCTCTGCAACCCTGTCCGTGATTTTTCAGTTTCATGCCGTGCAAGCGAAACAACTGGAAACGGCGCATTCATCACCCTTCCGCGATTGCTAAATGTTGTTAAATGACTTCCAGGGCCGTCTCTTGTTTAGTAACGCTTGCTGGGTGAATTAATGTGATATATTCCACGTCGGTTTTAAACCTCGGCGGTATCAATGGCATCCAGTTCCACCTTTATTGGAGTTTGTCAGTCACCATGGTAACCCCGAGACTTGGAATGGAATTCAGGGCCGCCAATTATGACATTATGATAAACAGATAATCAAACAATGATTATTAAAATTGCAGGGCATGTTATATTATAGTGACACACCTTCAAATGTCTAACATTATTTGCCGACCTCCAACCATCTTCGTAGCGATAATGTTAATTGTTTTGTTCCCAACCTCAACAATTGACCCACTAGATTGTACTTAACCATGATAATACATTTGGTTCGAAACAAATATTTTGTATGGGATACGGGTTGCCCAATTATTTAATATATAAAACGTAAATGCCAGAAAATAACCAGTCTGAATTATCCGCCGATTCCTTTGTGCGTAAAAGGCAAAATAGCGGTAAAAATGATATGAATGGATCACTCAAATAAGGCGATGACACCAAAGTTTTCGCGAAAAGGGTAAGACAACGCAGTTCGCCAAGACTATAAGCCTTGACTTTTCAGTATCAGTGATAATCATCCTCGATCAGTATTTTCAGTTTTCCTCCTCACCCTCCTGTGTTTCGTCAGGTTTGTTCACTCACTCACTCACTCACTCACTCACTCACTCACTCACCGACCCACCCACTCACTCACTCACTCACTCACTAACTAGGTAAACATAGAATTACGGGGATAGATTTGTCCACTGGTACTTCCTACCTACAACCAACTCGGACAGATATGAATAGTCAAACAATGAAGCATTATGAAAACATTTGTTTGATCAAGGTTACAACATTCAAAGGGTCAATACAGCCCTCGAAACGTTTTATGGTGGCCATGTGGAGGGCATTTCAAAATTCCATTAGTGATACAAATGTCCGATTTAATTCCCTATTTAAACTTGTACCACATGTTCCCGTGTTTTATGTGAACAATTGACGGGTTTAACGCCGCTTTTAACAGTATTCCAGTTATATCGCGGCGTGTCAGCTTAATGTGGGAGGAAAGCCCGAAGTGATGCAGGTCTCAGACGTTTACCACTTCGGTGAAACCCACGAGCACGGGTACTGTGCTGACAAACCTAGAAACATAATCGGGGCGAACCAGGATTCGAACCCACAATCATAGGTTTCTGGCGCGTCCGAAGGGACGCAACTCTGCACAGCGAATCGCGGCGCCTTAGACGACTGGGCCACCCATGCCCCCTATGCATATTGTGAGCGGTGGGTGGGTGCTACTGGTAGCTAGGGCAGGGCAGGACATACTCACCCTTTTTTGTGACACATGGTGTCATTCAGTGATCCATATATGATCATATAATTTTTACTGCTATTTGCCTTTTACGCCCAAAAGAATCGGTTTATCGTTGGTCTCTGTCGTTGACGTTTTTGTTGGATTTTGTACGGAGAAAAGATTTTTTTCAGCAAACTCTAAAAAAAATGATATTTCTTTTCATTATAACTATCGGCCTAAATACAAAAAAGTATGTGTCTTGCAACAATGTATTTTTTCAACATTTAGATCTAGAAGTTACATTATTTTTTCTAGCGTTTTTTCGGAAAAAACAGATCATATAACTGTGTGATCAATCTGAACTCGTGTGTTTTTCAGGTCTTCCGGATACCTACGGACGAGAGTTTTTTCTACCCTACATCGATTATTCCCCTTGGCTCCTGACAATCAATATTGTGCCTACATTTCATGAATTTTCAAATTTCACAATTACAATAACTGACCATCAAACTAGAAAAGCAGCAGAGTGGGAAATGGTGAAATATGGAAGAGTTAGCCTCAATTATACAGACATCATCAACAACTACGACATGACGGAATATTCAGGTACGTAGTCTGAACATACTGTTGGTTGGTTGGTTGGTTTGTTGTTTTAATTATGTGTTTGACATTTCTAAACCCTAAGAGAAAAAGCGGGGGATCCGGTCGTCTATGTCGCAGCAATTTAAGGAAGGGAAATTTGTGTCGTCGCTGTAGACGAGGGTAGGAGTCGTTGTGGTTGAAAGAGTTGACACGTATGTCTTTGGTGCTGACAATGTCTACATTAATGGTCGGTTGGTGTGTCGTTTTACGCTGCACTCAGCAATATTCCAGCTATATGACGGCCTTAACATACTGAACATACTGAGTGAGTGTGGTTTTACGCCGCTTTTAGCAACATGCCAGCAATATCACGGCGGGGACACCAGAAATGGGCTTCACACATTGAACATAATGAATACACGTCATCTGATATATATCATAAAACGTGCTGCCAATGCTTACTATGCGAGACGACGTATATGGGGATTCGATGGCTGATTGTGTATCGACAACGCAGATAAAGTGGGGATCGGATGGTCAAGCCCTGTGACTTGACTGATAGCGTGTCGTTGTTGCTAGCGCTATCAGTATCAGGGTCTGATAGTCGTGATATAGCGGGGTGCGGCATAGAACAACACTCACTTAATCAATGTAAAATGTATATGTAAACAGATAATCGTTAATATAATAGGAACTTGGTGAAATTCTATGAACTAAAAGGTAATATGAACTCCGTTAGACAGCGTATTTAGAAAGAGCGCCTGCCCGGAAAGAGGAAGGTCGGAGGTTCGATCCCCGGCCGCGTTATACCAAAAGACGTTAAAAGATTGTTCTTGTTTGTTCCCTGGCTGGCGCTGGGCATTAAGGGGTTCAGACAAGGACTGGTCGTCTTGGAGTCAGTTTTGCTGTCTGAATGGGGTATCCATGTAACATTGCGGCATGGTATCTTAGTGGGTTGGCAGAGTGAGTGAGTGAGTATGGTCTTACGCCGCTTTTAGCAATATTCCAGCAATATCACGGCGGGGGACACCAGAAATGGGCTTCACACATTTTACCCATGTCAGGAATCGAACCCGGGTCTTCGGCGTGACGAGCGAACGCTTTAACCACTATGCTACCAGACCGCCCCGGGCTGGCGGAATAAAACCGGCGTAAGTCAGGACTAGTACACGAAGCAACACACAAGAACACATATTGCTCATATCTCCACACCAGAGGGGACCGCCTCCGTGGTCTAGTGGTAGAGCGTCCGCCCGGAGAGCGGAAGGTCCGGGGTTCGATCCCCGGCCGTGTCATACCAAAAGACGTTAAAAGATGGTACTTGTTGTTTCCCTGTCTGGCGCTCGGCATTAAGGAGCTAAAACAAGGACTGGTCGGCTCGGAGTCAGTATACTGTGTCTGAGTGGGGTATTCATGTTAAACTGCGGCATGGTATCTCAGTGAGCTAGCACTATAAATCGGCATCAGTCCGGACTAGTACAAGCAGCCACACAAACACACACACGTACATACACGTCGCTATATAAGTGCAATAATCTTGGACGCGACGTTAAACCCAATTTCACCTCACCTCACATGAGACTGGCATGCTCAAAGCGCTATTATTACCCCGATCACTGGATCAGCGTGCACTCAACAAGCATTCTCAGCTCCCTGGGGAGTATACAAGTCAAACTGCCTGTTAGGCGCTGGAAGGTTAACAGCCACATTGCCATCTCATCCTTCCGGGTACCCATTCACTGGGGATGTAGATATGTATGAATGAAAGTGTCATCACATTATATGCCGGGCAAAAGAAACTATTATTAATTAACTATAGAAATGGTTATTAAATGGTGATACGGTTATCGACCCGTAAAGATCTGGGGTAGAATTGGTCTTCAACAACCCATGTTTGCTGTAAAAGGTGACTGTGCTTGTCGTAAGAGGCGACTAACAGGATCGGGTGATCAGGCTCGCTGACTTGGTTGTTGCATGTCATCGTATCCCAATTGCGTACATCGATGCTCATGATGTCTGGATGAAAAATTGGATTGTCTTGTCATGGGTGCCGTTGTACAAAGCGACCTTAGCGCTAAGGTGATCGTAACTCCCATACCTTAACATAGACTTGCGACAGTCGTATCGCTAAGGTTGTTTTGTACAACAGTACCCAGACTCGATTATTTACGGAGCGCTGTTATATGGCTGGAACATTCCTGAGTGTGGCGTTAAACAATAAACAAACAAACAAATGATACGGTTATTGTAGTTGGGTTTTGGCCCTTAAGTTTGCTATGTTTCTGCGGCTGGTTTCAGCATAGTATAGTTTCGATAACGCGTGTAATTATTTATCAAATCCAATTTTCAAATGTATACTGTCACGAATTGAGATATTAATATACACATGAGTATTCATTTCTTTCCAGGTACACACATTAACTCTCCAGAAGATATTTCTATTTACATCAAAATGAAGAGAGGGGACATGATGACACTGTTTCCATTGGACTCACTAGACCACGAGTATTTCATCCCACAGCGATCGTCTCCCTTGGACTATTCCCTTGTGTTCGTATTTGCAGTCTCAAAAAACACCACCGTCACAACAAACTGCAATTTGACAGATGCGATGGCCAATGTGTCACATGACCAATATGGCGACCAGACGTCTTATCCAATCAACGCCTTCGAGACATTGAAATTAGAAACCTCCAATGGCAACACGATACGTGTTAGAGCGGATAAGCCAGTGGGAGTGATACTTTTGACAGTAGACGTGCTATACGACACCGAGAACTCCTCTTTTGAGGATTCAAACTTAGTGTATTTTGAATTTGTCCCTCCACGCTGCACGTGGGGAAAGCTGTTTTATGCCGTGTCGTTTTTTGAGCATGGCTCGTTAACTTTCACAATATCTGGTAAGCATAGTTTTTTTGTTTTTTTTCTTTTTTTTGTTGTTGTTGGGTTTTTTTTAGTACTGTACATTTTTTTTATAAACACTGATATTATGCAATAAGGGGCGGATGGGTATCCTACTGGTTAAAGCGTTCCCTCGTCACGCCGAAAACCCGGGTTCGATTCCCGACATGGGTACAATGTGTGAAGCCCATTTCTGGTGTTCCCCGCCGTGATATTGCTGGAATATTGCTATAAACGGCGTAAAACCATACTCACTCACTCACTTATGCAATAAAGTTAAACGGCTACGAGAATCCAAGCAAGCCAATCAAGAATAAGAACAACCATATTTTATTGATTTCAATTGTCGTTATATGCTCTTATTGGATTCGACTCCCGGTTCGTCCTGCTTATGTTTCTAGGTTTGTTAGCACAATACCCGTGGTCGTGGGTTTCGCCAAAGTGGTAAACATTTGAGACCTGCATCACTTTGGGATTTCTAACCACATTGAGCTGACATGCCGTGATATAACTGGAATACTGTTAAAAGCGGCGTTAAACCCAACTTGCTCACTCGCACACTTGTGTGACCACAATGACAACGGTTATAGAATCAATGTCTGTGTTCACTACAAATTTCAAAATGCCTTTAAAAGGATTGTTAAGAAACCTTTACGACCGCTGAGGTGTTAATGTAAGAAAGAAGTAGCAAAGTTGAATGTTATATATTTAACGTTGAACATAAGTCGAAGACAACTCTCAAAAGAAATTCCATTTTGTTTTTTCAGCTGAATTGGAGACCAACATCACCCTAAAAACACACGACTCCATCGTGAACGCCATTGTCGGAGCCAACACGACGGAACATTATCTGTGTGCAAACGTGTCATATGTAACATTGGCCGCTTCAAGCCCAGTGCAAGCATATGTGACCCAGACAAATGAAAAAAGTCATCTTGGCTGCAGAAGTTCCTATTTCCTCCCTCCGATTGAGCAGTATTTACGGTGCCTCCGAACCTGTACGGAACTATTGTGCCCTTCCTTCCTCCCCCTCAGCCTCGCTGACTTTCAACCTTCCATCTCTCATTGTGTCATTTTCTCGGATGCAAATTCATCTACAAACTGCACAGTGGCAACGTATACCAAAATTGGTGTTCATAAATCCACAGTAAAGACAATAAAGGTAGATAACTCTTACATGGTCTTCCTCCAAGATGGCGCCGCCGGAAGTGTGATCCCTATGGGGTCAAGGCTGTCCCGGATACACGGGGCTTGTGTGCAGACAATTGTCGCCAACGGTGGGGGCGGTGACGGAGTTGATAACGACTGTGACGGCTTCATTGATGAAGAGACGTTGGATATGGAAGATGACGACGGGGATTCCAGGGTTGATGAGGACACAGGGATGGTGTGCAATGAAACTGAAACGTCAAGGTCATTGCGGTCGAAGGAGGTTGACAAATCGGTGACGAATGTTTTCTTCAGTGGAGTTGATTACGTGGACGAGGAAGACTCCCAGAAGCCTTTGATAGCTGTAATTGTTTCCCTATGTGTCTCAATATTCGCGGTTTTTGCTGTTATCTCTATATTCATGCTTCTTGAACTTTTATCCAGGCGAAATCAGCTTCGAAACACAAAAATCAGACCATTTGTTTCATGAAAGTGAGAGGCCAACTTATAAAAATACGCTTGTTGCCAATTGATTCCTTACAATAGAATAACAGTCAACTCAAAACGCTTTGGTTCGTTCTGCTTATGAATAGACACAACAATGGCTGATACCAAGAGGCAGAATGCATGTTATTGACGATCAAACATTACAGCTTGATACCAAACTGTGTCGTCTTATAATACTTGGGAAGTTTCTATCCCCCGACACAACATCACATAATATATTCACAATGAACAGGATGTGTATAGTGATATGTTTGATATATATGTTGCTGCGCAAACAACATATAATGCAGTGTGACATGCAGGTGCAAGTTCTACAGCATGATGATGAGGAGGAGGAGGAGGAGGAGTGTTGACACAGCAGCAATACTTTGATATAATTGCTCGAAAGACTACTTAGTGTTCAAAGACATGCATAATAAGTTCGTTTCTCTGTAGCTCCAGGGGGGCGGTCGGGTAGCCTGGTGGTTAAAGCGTTCGCTCGTCACGCCGAAGACCCGGGTTCGATTCCCGACATGGGTACAATGTGTGAAGCCCATTTCTGGTGTCCCCCGCCGTGATATTGCTGGAATATTGCTAAAAGCGGCGTAAAACCATACTCACTCACTGTAGCACCGTAATACCTAATCCTATGTAATCGCAATAAGACAAGTATCCATCGTTTGTCAGCATCATACCTTTGCTCGCCAGTTTCGCCGAAATAGTAAATATATAAAACCTGCATAACCTACGCTATTCTTCTATTAAGTAATTTGGCATGACGTCGTTGTGGAGCTGAAGTATTGTTCGACGCGAATTAACCCCAATTCACTCACTCACTCACATACTTGAATACTGTCGTTTACCCATGGTCGACAGACAGCCCAATGGATAGATAAGATTGGATGGTATTCGTGCACTGTTCAAGCAGGATAATATTGCTGTCAAGTTATATCAACCAACGTTTCTTACGAAGAATCGAAGCTGTTTTTCCAAGCTACGACATCGCATTCCCTACTTTCAATATGTGCATGGTGGCACAGCCAAATGTTCCAAAGAGTCGAATGACCACAATTTCCCTGAATACATCTGGATTGCATTATATTGCTTTATATTTCTTCGTTCTTCTGGATTGTAATGTTTTTTGTCGGTATTATTATTTAACCTGTATTTGGAAAGTGTTTTATTTCGTTAGAATAATCATCATATATTTTCCACGTCTGGATAGGTTGGAAACTGAAACTGACTTGGCTGCTGCTGAAAGCAAACATACAAGTAACCATGAGACTATACAACAAGCGGTTGCGTCAGGTCGATAGGATTAAATATAGCTGAGCAATACAGTGCATATGATAGTGAGAGAGATATTCTTAACGCCGCGTTTAACATTATTTCAGTTACATCGTTATTTGTCAGCTTAATGTGGCGAAAATGGATAAATCTGTATATGTAAACCCTTTTCGTGACGCAAATGACCCAAACTCACACCAGGATTTGACCAATCAAAATCAACCGTTCCCATCTCAGGTTACAAAGCGCGCCTCTGATCTTGTCGTAGATAGAACCAGCATCTCATGGAAACAGAAGCAACAACAGGGAAGTAAAGAGGAGGTTGATGCATGTTTAATTTAGCCGCCCACTCATAATTCCAGCGAAACGATTTATTCATACGGTCCTGGTTAAATATTCAAAGGCTCATATATACGTGGAGATCACCACATGCATGAATATTAAATGACATTGTCCTGAAATATACTTTATACAAGCTCATCAATTGCACATGAAAGTAGGTGGGGAGGTTGTACGTTGAAAGGTAGAGAAACTATAAACGTGGAAACTCTCAATTTAATGCCTATTCTCGAAAATACGATGAATGGTTCAAATATATTTGCAGATGTTCAACATAGCAACATGGCGACATGACACAACCATAGCAACAGTTCATAGGGAAGTCAATCCTCATCTGTCGCTCATTTTCGTACTAGGAGCTGAGATGTCCGGAAGACTTATTTTCACATAAGAAAGATTGCCTTAAGTTGAACTCTAAAGATGCTTTTATATACATGACACAGCCAGCATCACTCTTTGGAATATATGGAAGGTGTTATTTTGATACAGGATGAGGAACAGATTCTATATTTTCCGTTATGCTTATTATTTTAAATGATTTCACTTTGACTTTGTTCAATGTTGTTCAGAAAATATACAGTTAGCATTGTGGGGTTTATACTACACAAAAAAAGTTAAAGAACAGCCAATCGTTTTCAAATGACTATAGTTAATTTGTCATGACAGATTAACTATAGTCATGTGAGAAAATCGGGTGTTCCTAAAAAAAATTTGGGTACTATATATAACTTGATTGACATCTTAAATATACTGTTAGTTTGCGCATAGGGTTGAGAGGAAGTTATGTTTGGGCAACTCCGATGCTATACGAGTCTGTCGAAGTCGTCCTAAGGTCTCTCTGACCTGACATTAGCGGTGGTTGCAGAACAGTCAAGTTTCTTTGGCATAGGAAATGACCCTCAAGGCCAACTTCCCTCGTCTCTCGAGGTATTATTTTATATCAATTCCAGTTTTACTCATAATCATCATCATCATCATAATCATGATGATGATGACGATGATGATGATTCCATAACTTAAGTTATAATTCGTCATCAATCACAGTCAAGACAGTGCACTACTGAATAAATAATCGCCCTGCACCACCTACGCATATCAGAAAACAATGGTCATCCATTGTTTTTAAGCAATGTATCTACTGTTGCATGGTCTTGAAATCCAGCCTTTCCACCACGTCAGGCAAATATCAATATGCCCAATTCTTTAAATAGATGTATCTTAACCAATATTGTTTGATCTTCATACAAATTGCCAAAAGCATCCTGAACGTCAACATCGTCTCCAGGATACGGAATGGATGGCCCGTGGTTGTGTAAGCATGAGCCTGTTCTGGTAACACGATGCAATCTCCCCACTGGATTTGTAATGGCCTTGTTATGATTTGCTTGGTGATTCCAGGTTTAATAGCAACCAATTTCCTGAAGAGCCGAGGATTGTATGTCCCCTAGGGGCTGGCTGCGAGGGTGATATTTAATGCAGGATAAATGGCTCTTTGAATAGTGTGCATGACACATTGAAAACATACAGGAAGGGCAGTTAATGCTATTGATCTGATAACACTATTGTTATACAACAAAGTATGAAACTAATCAGCGTGTCTGTACCATGGTTGAACAGATTGTGTATGAGGAGATGAAAAGCTAAATGGGCGACTTCAGATGCCTTGATGTTCAGCGTGGTAATTTGAGTATTGAGTGTAGGTACTATTTTACACAGTTTCAAATCTGAGGTTATAGTCGATACTGTTATGTCGATTACATAGGTAAACATAAAAATAACAGATATATCGATGTAAGTGAAATAACATGCATGGCATCGGCTATGTATATGTTACAAATGAGTGTGATCAACGCTGAGTAATCAAACGTCGACGGGCATTCGGCAACGTCATTCAACGTCACTCTGTTATACTTGTTGACGACATGATTCTTCCAAACGAGTGGGGTAGCCTAGTGGTTAAAGCATCAGCTCGTCACGATGAAGACCTGGGTTCGATTCCCAGGTACAATGTAGGAAACCAATTTCTAGTGTTCCCCGCTTTGACATTTTTGGAATATTGGTAGAAGCGGCTTAAAACCATACTCACTCCAAACGTGAGGTAACAGAAATACTCTTCTCTGCAAACTTTCACAGTTTTATTTTGTAACGAAGCTAATCAGATTGAATCTGCCTCTTTTTGTTTATGTATTTGCATTTTTGTGTTTATTTTCTACCTAATCACCCCTTTTAATCCGCTAAAAAAATATACTTTATTTCCTCAGTTAAGATACCTTGATTTTCCAGGAACATTTGTTTTGGTAACGTACATAAGAACCAGCTGTTCTATAAATTTCTGATGTACAGATAATCGAGCATGCCAAAAATTGAAAGTCTGAAATTTGATAAATGAAATGATGTAATAAATGTGTGTATCTTCCAAGAATGACTATAGAATCTATAGTAAATTCGGACATTCCATGTGCCAAACTGACAGTAGATTGTAGTTTAGATGACGTGTACAGGTAGGCAATGAACAACACCGTGCGTGTGTACATTACAATCAAAACTATAGTGACAATAATCTCCCATGTGCGGTTAGCGTGTATATTGACATTACATTTTGAATGTGTACAGGTCTGTCAATAAATATTTCAACCCCAAGCCTGACGAGTTGTTCTTGTTGGTGCCAGCATCGAAAGACCTCCAGCGAGGTCAAGGCGTTATTAAGTGGAAGGCAAGGCCATCATCGGTTATTTCGCTTTGACATAATAACATTATGGATATTTAAGTAACGGGCGTGGCCTTATATAGGGTTCATGGATTTCCTGATGTGGCGGCATTTTGTTGGAGAGAAACACTGATTACGGGCGGTATTGTGCATAATGCTAATTTCCAATCGAAAGTAACGCCACAGTAAGAATTAAATATTACCAGACATGAGGTCGGCATAACTCCATACTGGAGTACAATGACGTCGGATGTCACCAGAGCGACTGCTGGAGAGAATGAAAGCACACACCAATGATTCGTCAAATATTTATCAAAGTAACTAAATAGTGCATATGATATTTATGAATACTTTTCTTTTTCTAAAATAAAAAGATGAAAAATGTCAATACGACGAACAAAGTCAATACGACATAAAATCGATTGTTAGGGAGAATGGACTAAAGTCAGGATGTTCTGTCAAATATTTATCAAACCAAATAATTAATAACAATAATTACGAATACGTTTTTTGAAAATGCGACTAAAAATATCCATATAACGAAAAGTGTCAATAGGCCATACAAACGATTGCTGGGAAGACAAAAAGGGAAGCCTAATTAATAAAAATTACTATATTTGTGAAAACATTTTTATTTTAATTTAGTGGTGAGAAAACCCACAAACAACACGTGGTGACCATGGGATAAAAATATTCTTACGACGAAAAATCTCAAGGTGAATTTTCAACCCAATAAGCAACGTATTATATATTTCAGCCAATTAGTTTGCAGCACACAGTCACTCGGTACGGTTGCGTTCAAACGGAATGGATCGATGTCTGCTATAGATGGATGGTTTGCTTGATCAAGGTCGATTAATACCCATGCCAGGCTGTCATTACATGGTTACAGAATGGTGTGTCAAGGTTAATTCCCTCATCAAGTTATGGGTACGATTCGATTTGGAAGGTGCAACTTTGTAAGATAGGCATCACAAAACAGACCTTCTGATGTTATCACGTATTTTCGTTAGTAGTCTCTTGAGTTGACAAAACACAGATTAGCAACAAAACTCTCTGGATGTGTTAACACGAGTTCCAGGATAAGACCCGCAAGGACCATCGATTCCGTTTGAAACACCCAAATTCAGTGATCATGTAACAAACGATGTATTTCACCCAAGAAGCTCTAAAACTAATAACACCTCATCGTCCTTGTCTCATTACGAAATCACTGATACCAAGAAACACACGTCCTTGCTATTTCTACACAGACAAATAATTACGTGTTTGCTGATGTCTTAGCCAATACTAAGAAGAAGTACTTTTAGATTTAATTTGATTCTTTCCGGTGAACGGAGTGCTGCTTCTGGAGCATCGAGTCTCTGCTACATAATCAGAGTTCGACTGATACCCTCTTCTAGGGGTTCCCAATTAGTTTCTTATTAGGGACAAAGAAATGATCCGTGTTTGGCGAAGTCAACAACCCCGTCATCTCGCGTCGATAAATCCGTCATTTGTCCAAGAAATCAAAATGGCGGATATCTGTTAAGTAGAGCTAGTGGTCATTATGAGTAATTTGCTTTAGTATCATCCTTACTAATGACAGAGGCTGTTTCAGCTGTAAGTAGTATTAGCGGGTAGTAATTGTAATCTTTTAATACGGGGTTTCCCAGTTGGCAATACCAAGGACACACAAGCAGACAAGCACAGATTCATGAAGTGGGGTTGAGAGTACTGCGCACTTCATAATAGAGATAATTAGCTTCGAACAGAAAGAGGCCTGCTGATTAAATATATTTCTTTTTAAACATCACATCTCAATACTAGTGTTTAGCCAAGACCGTAGCTTAATTAATTAATTGGTAGTTTTAACAAGAGCTTTCTAGATTCGTAGAATCGACGTCGTTGATGAAGGAGTTTGCTTTTATATGAGGTGAGGTGGAATTAGGTTCAACGTGTGTGTGTGTGTACGTGTGTGCGTGCGTGCGTGTGTGTGTGTGTGTGTGTGTGTGTGTGTGTGTGTGTGTGTGTGTGTGTGTGTGTCATTACACTGGAGGATAAGTTAATCATACTCCCTGATGTGATCTCCTTCGTGCAGTCCGTGATTCACCAAGAATGTTTTGGTAACTGGATCCACGTCTCAAGTTCACGTCGCTTTAAACGTTCGTTATGACGTGAGGTGAAATGGGGTTTTACGTCGCGTTCAAGGTTATTACACTTATTTAGCGACGTGCATGCACGTGTATGTGTGTGTGTAGCTGCTTCTACTAGTCCGGACTGATGCCGATTTATAGTGCTAGCTCACTGAGATACCATGCCGCAGTTTAACATGAATAACCCACTCAGACACAGTATACTGACTCCGAGCCGACCAGTCCTTGTTTTAGCCCCTTAATGCCGAGCGCCAGGCAGTGTTACAACAAGTACCATCTTTTAACGTCTTTTGGTATGACGCGGCCTGGGATCGAACCCCGGCCCTTCCGCTCTCCGGGTAGACACACTACCACTAGACCACTATTAAGCGCCACAGTTTGCCATTTTGGATTAGTTAATTGTAAAGTCATGCAATTAATATATTATGAATATTTGAAATCTGGCAGGTATGTGTTAGATGCCGGATCTCCTGTTCTATGTTCGAATCCCAGATTCGCCCCGTCTATGATCAGTTAGTGTGATCATGGTCTGTCAGTACTAATGCTGGTGAGTTTCTCCCCCGGTAAACGTATAAATCCTTCACTACTGTCGGTTTTCCTTTTTAAATTGTATTTTTTTTGTTTAACGCTGCACTCAGCAATATTCTAGCTATATGACGGCGGTCTGTAAATAATCGAGTCGGGACCAAACAATCCAGTGATTGACATGAGCATCGATCAACTCAATTGAGATCGATGACATGCATCAACCAAGTCAGCGAGCCCGACCACCCGATCCCATTAGTCGCCTCTTACGACAAACATAGTCGCCTTTTCCGGGGTAGTCCTACCCCGGAACTTCACGGGTCCCTTTAAAATTGAGCTGAATATAGTGCTTATGTAACTAATGTACCATTCTGGTGACACTATATCAAGCAGAATACGTAAAACTGAATTCGTCTATCCGTTGTGTCCATCACTCCTTCAAGTATTTGCTTCCTTCCTATAGAAGCTAGACAATCTTTTTTATAACAATGTTGAAATAAAAACATGTTCAGATTAATTTTGTTAATTCATTGATATTAACTATTTGATTTGTGGTGGTGGTTAGGTCTCATTTTAATAGGTTAAGAGCCGACTGAAGGAGGTCAGCGTTGTCGATGTAAGTGAGTGAGTGAGTGAGTGAGTTCGGTTTTACGCCGCTTTTAGCAATATTTTAGCAATATCACGGTGGGGGACACCAGAGATGGACTGCACACATTGTGCCCATGTGGGGAATCGAACCCGGATCTTCTTCGTGACGAGCGAACGCTTTAACCACTATGCTACCCCACCGCCCCCGTCGTAGAAGAATGCAGGGGTCGTTGTGTTTGAGAGAGTTGATACGTATTAACTGTCGACATTTCCAGCCGCGGGCCGTTTGTTTGCTGTTTAACGTCGCACTCAACAATATTCCAGCTATATGACGGCGGTCTGAAAATGATGGAGTCTGGACACGGACAATCCAGAGATTAACATCATGAACATCCATCTACGCAATTGCGATACAATGACAGGCAATCAACCAAGTCAGTGAGCCTGACCACCGATCTATTCAGTCGTCTTTTACGACAATCGTGGGCTGCTGAAGACCAAGTCTAACATGTCAAGCTCGCTGACGTCGTTGATTGCATGTCATCGATTCAACTACAAGAAAGCCTACAATGCATCTCCCTCATCAAAACTCCACATGACGGGCGTATGATGGGTAAGTTCGGTGTAGTTTCGATTTGAACAGTATATCAGACACATTACGACCTTACATTTATATAAAAACAACAAAACCCTTTCAATATTCATAAGGAATCTCTGATAAAAGTCGATTGTACGTTTCCGATTATATCATAAGCATGTGCTTATGCATCCCCTTCAAATAGTGATGATACCAGGTGTTTGCGAAAAAGTGAGCGTATCCTGCCCCGCCGGTGGCACCCGTAACAAACACTTGCAAAGGCAAGACAATTTTTCACCTGAAAAAACACGGCAACATATGGTTCGAGTCACAATAGAGACCTTCATCACTGATACGTCAAAGTTGGAAAAGTCCTCCACACGTCTACCATAAAATCCTGAAGCCTTTACTGTTGTAACCTTCATCAAACAAATGTTTCACGATGCTTCATTGTTTGAAACTATTCATAACTGTCCGCCGTGGTTGTAGGTAGGAAATACCAAATAAATCCCCGTAATTCTATTTTTACCTGTGAACTGAGTGAGTGAGTGAGTGAGTGAGTGAGTGAGTGAGTGAGTGAAGAAGCTCAACGCAGACCCCAGGAGGATGGGGAGGAAAGCTGAAAATACTGATCGAGGATGTTGGTCACTGATGCTGAAAAGTCAAGGCTCACAGCCTAGGCGAACTGCGTGGTCTTACCCTTTTCGCAAACACTTGGTGTCACTTTATTTGAGTGATCCATTCATATCATTTGAGACCGCTATTTTGCCTTTTACGCACAATCGAATCGGCGGATAATTCAGACTGATTATTTTCTGTCTTTGAAAAGTCAAGGCTCATAGTCGTATTGAGCTCTCTGAAATATTCGTAGAAAATCATGGTCAGCGAATCTGGGCATGAACAATGAACGCAACGCTTGACAGTAAAGTCACAGGGAACATCAACATGACCTGCCCATCTCTTTCGATATAAAATAGATCAAGACGAGTTGGTAAAAAACATATTCGCAGCTTGCCGAGGTCATTTTTATCATCCAAATCATTCTTCGAACATGTTTAGTTTGTAAACTGAAGTAACCAGTAAATAGAACAGCTAACCAGCTTCAGTA